CTCTAATCGTTTTTCTGTAGCTTAACAGGCAGAACGCTCTGCTAGAGTTATCCTACTAAGACGTGAGCTGATTTATATCCCAAACCTGGTTTTAAATATTCTGCTATTAGTTGAAAATAATCAGGTCCAGGTTTGAAGTGTCTAGGTGTTGTAGTTTTGGAATTAGATAAATTCTAGTGTGATCCAGATGCAAAAAAAAAAGAGTCTGAAATTACCATTTAAGTTTCACAAATCAGAAAAAAGTATCACAAGTCCCACACATGGTTCTAAATATTATGCTATTAGAGCAAAATGATCCAGTCCAGGTCTGAAGTTTCTAGGGGTAGTGGTTTTGGAATTAGAGCAGTTCTAATATGATCTAAATGCAAGAAAGGGTAAAAATTGCCCTGTATTGCAGTTTGATAATTCAGAAAAAGGTTTTACAAATACCAAACATGATTATAAATATTCTGCTACTAGTTGAGAATAATCCAGTGCAGCTTTAAATTATAACCTGGTAACTACAGAACATCTATTAGAAGTCATTTATTGACAGTGCAATAGTTTTTTTTAGCCAAACTAAATGATAACATTTACCTATGGCATGCTAAGTGTTTTACTCGATGCACAAATTGCTGATATTCGTGTTGTAGATTTGGAATTAGACTCGTGTGACCAAGATTTTTAAAAAAGTGCTGAAATTGCCCCTTTTTTGAAGTTTCACCAATCAGAAAAAGGTTTTACAAATCCCAAACATCATTAAAATATTCTGCTATTAGTTGAGAATAATCCAGTGCAGGTTTGAAGTGTCTAAGTGTTGTAGTTTTGAAGCTGTAGCAGTTCTAGTAAAACCCAAATGCAAAAAATGTGGTAAAATCAACCTTTATTGAGGTTCACAAATCAGATAAAAATTTCACAAATCAAACGTGGTTTGTTGAGAAAAAAAATTTATTTTACCTGTAGTTACAGCAGATGGTTTGCTAGGATCGTTTGAACTGCCTTTTGTCTGTGGGAAAACAATACAGTAGGAGTTGTAGCTTTTCACACTCATCTGTGAAAGGCCGTAAACACGGCAGGGTTTCTGGCTTCAGATAGAGGGTCAGAGATAGCTCCTGGTTGGATGAGCAAAGATACGCCTTATTTGAATAAATTAAAGAAAAGAAGATAAAACTTTCTACACAGAAGTAACAAATCAGATTTTGCTCTTGCAACTTCTCCAAAGACGTCTTCGCTTTTTGTTTGTCGTTTCCATCTCTTGTCTTTTTCTCTCTCAGGTAAATTCATGTGTTGTTTGTGCTCCGAGGTTTCTGATGTGCTTTTCTGGTGATAGTATGCATCTGCCTTGAATAAATTCTGATTATTGTGACGCTGTTATCTCTGTGTGATCTCAGTCTTTGAGCACAGCATCTTTCTGAACCCGGGCACAGAGAGGATATAACGAGTTGAAGAATTTTTCCTCTCTTAACAGGTTAAATCACGCTGGCCTTGCAACAGCAAAATAAGGCGTGGTAAGGTGTGGTATCTTGGACCACCGGCTTGGGTAAAACGCCATGGAGCTCTATGCTCTCCAGGTCAGGATAAGTTTCAACAATCTCCTCAGTTTGGAGTAGCGCCAGGAAGTTTCGGCAGGTTTTTTCTCCTTTATTCATAATCTTGTCCACAAGCTCTATAACGTGGCCCTCCACATCCTCTCTGTTAATGCTCTTGAGGTTGTTGTATTCTCTCGAAGTTATCAGCTTCTTCTCCTGAACTTTATTGAGGATAAATCGGTAGTCTCCACATAAAACCTCGATGAGTTTTGTTTTATTACGCTTCATGGTCTCTTTGGCTGCCATTACTGCGATAACTACACACGCTGGCGCTCAAATTTCAACCGTCTGAACCCCAAATAACAATAAAGGCGTTGCTTAGTCTGATATCCTTTGAAGCAATCTTTCTTTAAGAAAGCAGTAACAGGTTAGTAGGTCAACAGCAACTTACGAGTCAGAACCAGTCAGCCGAACTTCTATATTCACGCGATTTAGACGGTCCAAAAATTCCTCTCTATGGGTTAAAGTCTAAAAGCTACAATGACGAACTTTTCAAGGAAGCAAAACTCCCGCCGCTCGGCAAGTACACGTATCTGTAGCAAACAGGAAGAGGCGGGACGGACCACTCTCAGTCTATGCAGTCTCATACCTTATTTGGAAATCCGGAAGTGAAGGGGGGGCGCTCTATTTCCTATATTGTCCGCGGTCCCCCGTTTTTATTTTCTTTTGAAATCTGATCTATCTTCACCTTTAGGAGAGAGTTTCATTCTTAACATGTATTTGAACTTCTTTCATTTATTTACTTCAGCGCAACTCATAGTTTTTAACTAATTCTGTGGCTTTCAATGTACTTCTAAATCTGCTCCTTAGTTGCATCTTTTCGGACTTGCTACTGCCTCTAGTGGCGTGGGGGTGGTAACACAACTAATCTAATTACATTACTAAATCAGAATACCACAAAGTCTTTATTATTTATTATTAATTCTGGCATTACTGGAACCGTAAAAGATAAAGTTCCTCACAAAACACCATACCTTTTTATTTTCTTGAGGAAGTAGAGCTAATTAAATGACATAAACAAGACCTGAAAGTGGTTCCAGTTTCACTCTATGGCCAACCTGTTGAAACTGTGGTAAATTGGTCTGTGGTAACTGTCATTCCTGGACAGTGAGCTCAGTTTTGCTGAAAATACTGGCTATGCTTTTAAGAAATGTTTTCAGAGACTCTATCTTTTAAAAAGACCAAGTGATCTGGGAGTTACCTAACAAGAGGTCGTGTATAACCTCTAGTTAGGTAGAGGTTGTTGAGTTAAAAAGTTAAAACTTAACATTTTATTTTAAATTAAATGTTAAAACTTAACTTTTTAACTCATCTCAAGTTTTAACTGTTTTAACTTTTCATCTTTTCAGCTGGTTTGGTCACATGAGCTGCAGACTAACAGACAATCTTTTAAGAATACTTTCAATGGCAGGTAAAATAGTAGGTCATAGTTTGAGCTCATGAAGGCGTTATTGTGTTCCTCTAGTAACTATAGAACATCTATTAGAAGTCATTTATTGACAGTGCAATAATTATCCTGAGCCAAACTAAATGATAACATTTACCTATGGCATGCTAAGTGTCTTACTCAATGCACAAATTGTTGATATTGTAATTCTATGAATGAGTTTTAGTTTTATCGTTTTAGAGTCGAAGAAAAATTTCCACTTTCAAAGGCTAAATAGTTTAACCATATTTGTTCCTATATATAAGACTACCAACTAAAAGTCTCAGAATAATATACATGGCACAGTAAAAATAAAAATGTGAATTATTGCTTATATCTGTTTAACAACCCTGGTTATTTGTCTGTGAACCTAATTAATTTGTTTGTTATTGACTTTTGCTAAATTTGTTATGTTTTACATGCCTTATTTCTTTTGTTTCTCCTATAATTGATGGAGATCTATAGATATTATTTATAATGTATGGAAGTATTATGTCACCTAATTAGCTCTACATCCTGAAAAAATGGAAACATATGGTGTTTTAGAAGATAATTAATCTTTTATGTTGCCATTAATGGTGAAATTAATGCTAAATAATAAAGATTGTGTGGTATTCTCGTTTAGTTACGTAATTATGTTAGTTGTCTTACCACCTAGACGCCACTAGAGGCAGTAGCAAGTCCGAAGAGATGCGGCTAAGAAGCAGATTTAGGAGTACACAGAAAGCTACGGAATTTGTTCAAAACTGTGAGCTGCGCTGAAGTACATAAAAGAGAGAAGTTCAAGTACATGCTGAGAGTTAAACTCCTTCTTAAAGATAAAGATATATTACACATTTCAAAAGAAAATAAAAACGAGAGACCGCGGATAATATAGGAAATAGAGCGCCCCCTTCACTTCCGGAGTGCAATGGTCCCATTTCCAAATAAGGTACGTTGACTGACAGTGGTCCGTCACCGCCCCTTTCTGTTTGCACAGCTTGCTTGGGAAAGAGGATGAAGTTGTTAGTTAATAGGAAAATATCTTTAACCACAGTGTGGTGTTTGGTGCCCCCACATGGTAAATACAATGCGACAGGAAACAGGAGGCAGTAATTTTCACGTGTAAGTAAAGTAACAAATGGTAAGTTTACAAAAAAAAAAAAAAAAAAAAAAATCGAGCGTTTTAATAAAAGTCAAACTCTGCTTTTACTGTGTCTTTCGGTTCTTCTAGATATTACTTTTGCATAGTCCATAAAAAGCACATTCATAAAGCATTTACACACTATTATGTTAGTACAATTACAATAAAACTGAACTGCATATTTTCAATGGAGTTTAGTGAGCTAAATTTACTCCCATTATGACATTATTTCATTTGTGAGTCTCATGCCTCCATGAGGCCACCTGGCCTCTTTCTAACTGTCACCTGAACTCCTGAGCGGAAGGTTTTCCTTGGACTAAGTTTCACTTTAAATTCTTAGGAAGTCTCTTACATCCACATTTCTTAGACATGCCACCTATATTTGCCTAATTACCAAACACACATGTACATCGATCACAGATTCAAATGTTAATATAAATGAAAGCTGAGTCTGTGGGGTTTTGTGAAAAGGAAGATGAGGAAAAAATAGGCTGTGGACTTCCAGGCCACACCACTGAAGGAGCCCCAACTATGTGCTAAATGCATATACCAAAAAAAGTCTATTGTTCTGTTGTAATAATCATATTTTCCGAGAAACTGAATTTTGGGTTCTTGTCAGCTTTGAACCTTAATAATCAAAACAAACATTTTTAAAAATGTTTTCACAATATGAGTTGAATAAAAAAAATCCAATTCATTAAAACTCAAATATGTAAATGTTGATCTTTTATTTTCCATGAAATATTTACGTTTCAAGCTGTAAAACTGTGTACCGGTACCAAGACATGCGCAACATTCACAGTGAGCAATGTGACGAAAAATAAAGTGATGAAAAAAAAAAAACTGCTTTGGTTTCCTGAAACTTTGTACAGTAGGTGACGTCATCCTTCATATTTCCCCAAAATCGTCTCGTTGTGTCTCCTGGCAGAAAGAGAAACACTTTCAGCGGCAGCGTGGAGAGACAGAAGGAGGTAACAACACCTTATTAACTCTTTCTCTAATTGTTTTTCTGTAGCTTATCAGACAGAACGCTGTGCTAGAGTTATCCTACTAATATACGAGCTGATAATGTACAGTAAGAAGAGACAGCTGTGTCCATTTCTTGAAGTAGCTGTGTGTGTAAACACAGATGAACCCTGATAACTGTGTCTCTTAGTTGTGGTTGAAAACTGAGTTTCTGAAACCTTGAAGCCATCGTGTAGAGAACCAGTACAGAAACTAGAAAAGCAGTTTCTTTAAATCCGTTTGTGCCCCCTCTGAGGTGGCTTACAAGAAGTTAGCCTGTGTATGAAGGAAGCTAAAAAGGGGAAGTCTAGAAAGCCAGGAAATCACCCGCAGTAAACTTAGTCAGTCGCTTCTTTGCTACTTGTGGTCCAACGACTCCCCAAAAACTGAGGCTGACACTCATGTCTGGATGGACATAATCCGGTATTCACTTGCTTACGGAAAGGTAAAAGTGTCTAATATCCACGAGGATTCCTCACATCTGCACAGTCCAGTCGTGTGAATCTGATGTCTGCGTGTGTTTCGCCAGCTTTGGACCGACTATGAAGCTTTCTCCTGCTCTTCCTATACTGTGGTACAGCTTCCTCCTGCTGCTGAGGGTCTCGCAGAGTGGTGAGTGTCTTCTTTCACATTCCAACTTATTCACAATTAAAATAAGTATGATTGTAGGAAGGAAGCTACTATAATGACCGCAGGGTGGTGGTTTCCTTTTCTCGTTAGACAAACATTCCCGGACACTCCAACGAACGAGGATTTAAGGATTTAACACACAGAGCTGATGAATTCAGAATGGCTCATTGATACAAACTTGCTTCACTGCAAAAAAACCCAAAACAACAACAACAACAAAAAAAAACAGAAAAATCCTACCAAATATTTTTGGTCTTGTTTAGTGCAAATATCTTAGTGCACTTGAATTAAGACAAAACTAACTTACAAATAACTTTTCATCAAGATATAAGAGCTTTTAAGTCAATATTTCCTTATTAATTTGAAAAAAAGAAAAAAAAAAACACAAGTTCCACTGGTAGATTATTTCCATTTATAACAAGACATTTTTAAAAGTGACAACCTGCTAGTGGAACTAGAACGTTTTCATCAATACTAAGGAATTACTGACTTAAAACAAGCTCATATATCGAGCTGAAAAGTTGCTTGTAAGTTAGTTTTGTCCCATTTCAAGTGTACTAAGAAATTTATACTAGAAACTAGACATGAACTGACATGATGATGAGCTACATGGACCTGACGATGAATGTTCTCCAGTGAAAGGTGTGTCCCCTCTCTCATGTTCTAACTCTGGATTTATGTTGTTTTCTTCTACCAGAAGAGTACTACGATGAAGGCGTCGAAGCCCATTCTACTGTACGACCACCACATTTTAGCTTCTAATAATGTTTTGTTTCCTCCTAAATCTCCTCCTCTTCTATTCATTTGCAGAACATGACGGAGTCAGTCGATGAAATAGACGATGGATGCGATGAAATAGAAGATTTGGAGGATTCTGTCGTCTGTTCGGTCTCCCGAACGAACAAGCTCAACTGTTCCTGGTCGATCCACACTCTGGAGGCGGGTGCTCAGCTGTCCGTTTCTGTCAGGTAACCCTAGTCACTGCAATCCACTCAAAACAGAAAACCTAAAGACTCCCCTAAACATATAAATGCGTAGAACACAACTGTGAGGGTGTTTCTGTTTACTTCTTTGTAGCTTTTCTGAGAAGAAGCGCCTGATTGATTCTCGGAACCAAAGCTCAGCGAACGGCGATGGTTTCATATCCTGGACGATCGGTGGTGGCCAGGAAAAGTCTGTCGTCGTCGATTTTGAAGTGCTCCTGCGTGGCAACAGGATGTGTTACACCGCTGAGTTCGAAGAGCAGCAATTGAGTAATCTTCAAATTCACACACTGTTCTGGTTGAGTACACTGTAAAGTTATTTCTGTCAGAACAAACAACATCATGAAGACCAGGAAGCTCAGGCAGGCAGGCCAGGAGTAGTAGTTTGAGAGAAAGCGATATATTTGAATATCTAACCGTTCAGTCCTTGAATGGTCCATCTCCATGGAAACTGGCTGACAGAAAGATGGGGACGGTCTTGGAAGGAAACCTGATGGATAATCACCTTCCACCAGGACGACCTTGAGCCCTGTAGCCAGAGCAACAATGGACTAGATCAAAGCATATTCATGCCTTAGATTGGCCCAGTCAAAGTCCAGACCAAAATCCAATTGATAATCTGATACAAGACTTGAAAATAACCATTTGCAGATTCTGACAGATCCAATCTGATTGAGCTTGAGCAAATTTTAGAATTAATAATAATAATAATAATAATAATTAATAATAATAATAATAATAATAATAATAATAATCAGTTTGTAAATGTCGAAGCTGGTGGAAACATACCTGCGAAGAGGATAGTGGCCAATGATAAAAGACACCAGAATCTGTAGTTTCATTGAGGAAAAACTTCAAATTCAACTTTAACCTGCTTTTACAAAGTCCTTAAAGTTAGAGTCAGCATTAGAGTCATTCTCCACTTCCTGTCTGTGTCACTCCGCTCTTTTATTGGCAGAATCAATTCATTCAGAGAAGCTTAACTGAACTACAGAGATTGGGTGCAGATGGTTGTTTGGGCCAAGCAGGTGTTGACATATTTAATTGAGTAAATGGAACTACAAAGTACTGAAAACACAGGATTTGAATAACCTGAAACGAGTAAGATAATAAGATTATGTTGATGAAAATATGATGAGTCCAAATCCATCTGTGTTTGAGAATTTTAAGAAAGGAAAGCACCCATCACACCCATGCACTGAGCTGCATCCTTGGTCTTATTAATAACTCCACAGCTGCTGAATTTTCACTCCACACCAGACGGTTGAGTCCCACAGCTAAAAATAGCCCCTCACTGTTTTTCTAGTTGGAAACATGAGTCGTCTTTCACAGGAAATGAGCAGGTGAAAGTGTTGATACCGTAACCTGAATGAACTCAACAGTGTCGGAGTGCAGCAGGCACTTTCTTAACAACTCAGGGCGTGATGTCAGAGGTCAGAACTAATTTGGGCTTTGGGAACATAAAAGCTTTCGTCTTATGACAGCCTGCTGATGGAGCAACACTTTCTTGTTAAAAACTCCAGAGTTTGAAGAAGTAGAACATTTCGTCCTACATATGCTTATACATGCAAAGAATTTCTCACAGAGAGTTATTTCTGGTTAGTTCTGCTTCATGTTGGTGTATTTTTTTTTCTTTTTAGTAAGATCAAAACTAAAGTTACTTGGAATATGAAAGCATCTGAGAGCTGCAATAATATATTTTTGTCTGCTCTGATTAAATTAAGGTCAAAATTATACAGTGGCTACACAGTGACGCACTGAGATGATAAACGATGTTAAATATGGAATAAAAAAAAAATTCCTTGCACTCTTTTTGGCAATAGATTCTCTGTTACTGTTCCTAATTGCAATCAAAGCCCCATAAACACAAAATACTGCTCTTTTGTTTTAAATAAAGGTAATAAAATCAAAACTAACTGATAAGACCACTTCAAATTTTTAGACTCATTCTAAAGTTAAAGTGGTGCAATTTTATCACCAAGCAGATCACAATAACAGCATTTAATCACATTTTTAAAAAATATTAATATGTATTGCTGCGTTTATGGAACTAAAGATGGAAAACAATAGAAAAAACACCATAGATACTTTTTTTTTTTAAAAAAACATCATCACGGAGAACAGTTTCTGCATTAAGTCAAAACACAAAACGATAAATATGTTCAATAATTACCCACCCTTTAAGATAAAGAAGAATATTAAATCAACTGGAAAAAAAAATTACGAGACCAAACTTCAGAATTATTATATAAAAAAAATAATAAAAATTCCCCAGTGGCCCTAATGTTCTTCCATACAATGGCAAGAATGGCCTACGGTCTATTAGGGCCATTGTAAATAAAGAAATGAAAGTAAATTTCAGCCCAAAAAAATGTCAGTAATCTTATAGAAAAAAAAGAAAGACATGAAAATTTGAGTTTCAAAAGACTTTGCTAGGAAAAAAACTCAAAGTTTTAGATTAAACCCAAAAATGTTCTAGAAAAGGTCAAACATTTTTGACTTGTCAAACTCAAAAACATTTCCAAGTTCCAAGAAAGTCTGACTTTTCAAACTTCCTTGTTTTTTTTCTAGAAAATTACTGAGCTCAATCTCAAAAGCTATGAGTTTTTTGGCACAAATTGTACTCCGCTCTTCACCCGCTTTTTTATCTATAAAGACCCTGATGTGCAAACGGCTGGTCGGCTATTAGAATAAATCAAATTATTGTCATGCAAGTTTGGAATGAAATGCCTTTATTTAATTTTTCTTTTAAACCTGATTCTCTTTTCACATTGTTTTTCTTAGAAACAAACTTCCCGTTTTGAATCATTTCGGGCTCGACACTAACATGTGGTTATTTGGGTTTGGCCGCAGATATCCTGGATCCTCCGGGAAACGTTGATGCATCAATCCGGGACGGGAACCTTCATGTAAACTGGGATGTGCCCAGCAGTAGTATTTATGCACATTGTTTTGATTACCAGCTGGACATCGGTGACCAGGTATGACTGAGTCTGTCTCAGTGTGTGTGTGTGTGTGTGTGTGTATGTGTGTGTAATACCTTGTGGGGACGATTTTCCTGACATATACTACGCTGTGGGGACCAATTGCTCCTTGTGGGGACCGGAGCCTGGTCCCTACAAGGGGAAACCCTGTTTTTGGGTCAGGGGTCAGAGTTAGGGCTAAGGTATGAATTGAGTTTGGGTTAGGGTTAGGTATGTGATGGTTAGGGTTAGGAAAAGGGTAAAGGTAAGGTTTAGGCTGTAGAAATGAATGGAAGTCAATGGAAAGTCCCCACAAAGATAGCAACACAAACATGTGTGTGTGTGTGTGTGTGTGTGTGGCAGTGGTATGAAAGAGTGTTTGCCTCCTTCCTAATTTAATATATTTTTGCATGTTTGTCAGAGGGCAAATTTGGACTTTTCTCTCTCTTAAAGAGGATCTATTATGCAAAATTCACATTTTGCAATTTTTTTGGACTTCCATTTGAGTTTCTACAGTTTCTAAAAACAGCCCATGTACTTAAAAAAAAAAACAACTCCACCCCGCCAGGTTTTGGCAATAAGTTCATATATTTGCAGGAAAAGACAAGTGTTTTGTTGTTGATTTCCCATCCAGAAACCACTTGCTGCGTTCTTGTTGGTTGTGCAGGAGGCTCCATTTCTGCTTTTCAAACACTACTATACAACTTTCACAGTTGTATAATTGTGTATCTGTTTGAGGCCATTTTCACATAAGAGCATAAACATTGAGTTGGTGGGCGTGGCCAGCAGCAGCTTCTTTGGATTTAAAATGACATAGAATCTAAAACAATTCAAACTTAAAGGAACTCCAAATAGGGAGAACTGAGAAACTAAAAATGTTTCCTTGTGTTGTCTTTGACTATTTAAATTGGTTTGACGTGCAACAAACATGGAAAAGCATAGAAAGTCAGTAAGGGGGACAAAAACTTTTTCACACCAATGTAAATTGCACACCAGTCACAGTATAACACAACCTGAATCAACCAACTGAAACAAAAAATAATTTTTTCAAAACAGGAAAAACCAAGAAACTTTTCAGATAAAGTGGAACACATAGAGCTAAATGCTGCTGCTCACACCTACAAGGTGAGGATGAGGACGAAGATGTCGAAATCTTGCTACGGGTGCACCCAGTGGAGCGAGTGGAGCCCCACAGTCAGTGAGTATGCTTTTATTCTCTCAGATTGAACGATCTGATCGTCGACTCGTTCCTGTTTTCACTCTGACAACTTCCAGCTGAAGTGCAGCGACGTCTTCAGTGAAATAACTCGACTCTGTGTGTGTGTGTATACGCAGCGGTGAAGCAGCCAACGTACAGACTCGATCCTCTCGTAATCGCCTTGATTTCGCTCGGAATACCCATGATCCTCCTGGCCGTGCTGTTGATCCTGCGCCATCAGAGGTAGACTGATGACCCGTTGTAGCCGTTTGTGTCTTCTCCTTGTTGCCCAACTGCTTCCGAGCCGACACGTCATATCATTTCTCATAATTACGAGACAAAAAAAAGAAACACCCTGACAAATGTAGCCTTTAAGTTCGCAGAAGTAGTGAAGTTTCTTTCAAAGAAGAGTGCAGAAAGAAGAAGTGAGAAGGGTGTCAGTAGTGTCTTTTCAAGTGAGAAAACCGCCTTCACTAGACTTCTGTTTTTTTTCTCATAAAACGTAGGCTTGAGATGTTCTGGAGTAGCCAATAAGAGGAAGGAAGTTAAAGGAGAATGAGTTTAATAAGTAATAAAGAAAGCCTGGGTGTTTTCTTTTTTTTTTTTTCTTCAACATTCCCTGGGTCAGCTTTCCATGTCATAACAAAGTTGATATAAAGTGACTTTGAAATATGGATTCAAAATCTTCCTAAAGCGTACCTTGTGTCTCTCAGGCTGGTCAAAGTTCTGTTTCCTCCGATTCCTCGTCCCCCTGCCAAGTACAAACATTTCCTGGAAAAGACCGATCCGCTCAATGTAAGCACATCCTCATACTATACACACACATTCGCTCATACTTTACAGAGGTTTTCACACCTGGTGCAAAAAGATTCATTTATTTTTATTTGTATTTTTTTATGAGGATTTTATGTGATAGACAGTGAGGCACCAAATAAAAGTATTATTGTGTTGAGGAAGGAAAAGGAGCGTGCGCGGATGTGTTTTTTTTTATCAGTTCATTAAGTCCCTCTGTTGCCGTGTCTTTCCCCTGATTAGCTCCAGCTGTCTCTTCTTCTCCTCCTTCTTCTTCTTCTTCTTCTTCTTCTTCTTCTTCACTTTTTTATGGTGGTTGACAACTTTTACCGCCTCCAGCTGTCTCTTGGATGTATTTAACCCCTCCTGTGTCTCTTGCTCCCCCCACTGCATCCTCGTCTTGGTCATGGCATTGTTTGTCTGCCACAGTCTGTTCGTGTCTCATCCTTGTATCCTGGCTTTACGTTCTTGTTGGACTTCATTAAACTTATTTCTCCACCTCATCGTGGGTCCGTCTGCGTCCTTCCTCACTTTCGGAAACCCGTTTCATGACAGATAGCATGAGTCTGTACGTTGGCCGCTGAATATTTAACAAAAGTAAATTAAACAAACTCTGGCGCAGCTTGAACGCACACACAGACCGCGTCAAGACACAGCGGACTCCGCTGATCGCTAAAAAAAGAAGGCAGCGAACCATAGCGCAGGGCATTCTGGGTAAATACAACCAAAACAAACGCGTGTGTCTAGCGTTAGATGGAGAAATGTTTCATGGTCTTTAGACAAAAGAAAAGATGCTCTACAACCGCTAAGATGCGATTCGAATCCTTAAGTTTGAGTAACCCCTTAAGTTATATCCTTAGTTTTATTGCCCCTGACTATATTTAAGCATATCAGAATAAAGGTGGTGGAATACAAATGGATACCACACATTTCTGATTTTAATTTGTAAACAATTTTGGGAGCCATTTGTGATTTTCCTCCCTGCTCCACTTTGTATTTTTGGCACCAGTGTAAGCATTAGTGTTTGTATTCACGTGGTTCTGATCTCTACTTCTTCTTCTTCTTCTTCTTCTTCTTCTTCTTCTTCTTCTTCTTCTTCTTCTTGTGTTTGCAGTTCTTCCATCCTGTTCCAACAACTAAGCCCGAGGAAGAAATCACTGAGGTGGAGGACGCAGAGCAACCCCCCGTAACAAGCCATTAAAACAGTTCAGTGTGAAGGCGTGCGTTCGCTGCCAGTACTTATATTGATGAGCCAGCACATGTATATAGAGGGCTCGTAATGCTGCAGATATATAACAACTTGTGCAGAAATTGTATTGAAATGCATTCATAATCCTCTTCTGTGGAGCCTGGTCTAAAGTCACGTCAATAATTCATATTTTTAATTGAATCCTGAAAACGATATGCAAAATTGTGAATTTTGGAGCAAAAAAATAGTTATTTACAGACTGAAATTGTGAAACATCTTGCTACAGGTTTAAAATGTAAGACTTTTTAAGACCGTTGTGAATGAAATTTAAGACCTGCATCACCACAGAAATGTACAAAAGGAGACTGAATATTTTATATAATAGTGTCAAGCTTTTTTTTAAGCACATAATGCTTGCAGCTTCGTACGAGTTGACATCAGAAGTGTCAACCCATACGATAATTTACACTTACCAATGGTAGACGCAAAAGAGCTAGCTAACTAGCTAACAAGGGTTTATTAGCAGCTAGTTAGCGGCAGCCTCAAATCACAGAACGCAATAAAGAATTCAAACTTTTGCCTGACAGAAAAGTCTCACAAGAGGAATAAACTACATAGAATATGACATAAAAATCATCCTTCCACAACATTTTAAGACCTGTGATTAACATATTTAAAGTCAACTTACATTATTTAAAATTAATTCAAGACATTTTAAGGCTTTAGTTTTAGACATATGAATTCAAGGCTTTTTAAGGCTCTGCTATATGGGTGGTAAATGTTTGAAGAAACTGAACCCGTAGAGAAGTGTCAAACTTGACACTCTCTTAGTAGATTATTCTTTAAGGGGAAAAAACCCAAAACATTTTTAAAGTAACCTGTTGGCTGGAGGTTAATTTTGAAAAACTCCACAAGAAGAAATGACTGGGATTATCTGAAACAAAACAACCTGAGTTAAAATGATCGTTCATCTGGGTTTGTCTATTACATTAGAACATTTTAATTTAAACCCATGTCAACACACAGAGGATATCAGTACATCAGCACTTTGTAAAACATGGTGGAGGATTTCTTGTAGTTCAATGGAGGTCTTATGTCTTTTAATGAGAAGCCAACAGAGAAGGGCTGCCATGGCAAAATAAACTGGGACTAAATACTGACCTGGAATTGTACAAACTCTGTTACATATCAGATGTTGTTTGTTTGCACATGTTTTGAGTGTTTTGTCGTTTGATTTCCCTCGTTGTACCTGCAGAATCTGAAGAGAGGGGGGTGGTTTAAGATTTTTGCACATGTGTACTAAACTGAGATTGTTCCAGTGTACTTGTACTCTTTGTAATGTTTAATAAAACTGAGTTCTTGAGTATTCCATTCGGCCTGGTACCCCAGTTATATTATTTACCCTTTTTTTATGTTTACAAAATATGTGACTTTTAGACACAAACCAAAGAGTTAATAAGTGATTTTGTTAATTAAAAGAGCGACAGAAGTGGAAAACTGTAATTCGGGACACTTGCTGGTTTGTAACCAAGGCGCTTTGTCCTGTTTTGTACAGGATTTCACACCAAACTCCAGATGGAGCATTTATTACTGAAAAAGCTCAATCTTTAGTCTCTTCTGACCCAATGACAGGGTTCCAGTTAAATCAATACTGGTCTTAATAACTTCAGATGTTAATGTTCATGATGATAAAACAGAAAAGACTTTAAAAAATATTAGACGATTTTTTTTTTTTTTTTTAAAACCAATGACATAAATGACCTCTAAAGCAGTGGTGTCCAAAACCTTTACACCGACCGGGGGCCAAAATCAACAAGTTGAAAGCCGTGTGGGGTCAATTTTTTTTTCCCAATTAAAAGCACAAAATAATTTTATTGCAAATTCTTCACCCCAAATTTTAACCATTTGGAGACTTCTGACGTGTTTATGCTCCTGGAAAATAAAGTTATGGATTACTTATTAAAAGTTCCTAAACACTGTCACCAAGTGAAAAAGTTTTTTTTTTTTTTTTTAATCAGAAATGCGTCAGTTGTATTTGTTTTATAGGAATTATTTAGGCTGTAAATGAGTCTGTTACTTCTTAACCACAGACAAAATTCTTGATTGAATGGTGGCTTCTTTCTTCCAAGAATTTCAGCGGGTGATTATATTCCAAGATTTTCACACAGATAAGTGATGTATGTGGATTATACTTTTTTGAACGTATAAACTACTCTTGAATCTTGCATTTGTTTAGTTCTTTTCTGCGTCTATGTTCTCAAACCTTCAGTCGATGGGGGCAGATTTGCGCTCACACTGAGCCAGGTTCTGGTTCTGCTGGCAGTTTCTTCCTGTTAAAGGGGAGTTTTTCCTTTTCACTGTCGCCATGTGTGTGATCGGTATTGATCGGTATGAGGGATTGCTGCCAAGTCCACAACATAACGCAAACGATCGTCCTCTGTCCTCTTGTCCAGGAGGAGTGAATGCTGCAAGTCAGTGACTCAATGCAATCTGCTTTTTTTTTTTTTTTTAACCAATTTGAATAATAAAATGAACTATTTGATAACTAGGACCAATTGGAAAAGTTGTACTTGACTTGGAATCTGTATGATTAGATTGAACTGTTTTATTTTTTCTCTAAAGGGCATTGAGATGACACATTTTGAATTGGTGCTATATAAACAGACTGAATTCAACTGAATTACTTCAGCTATCAGTTTTTCAGATCTGTTAATGAAGCTAAAAGAAATATTAATGCAATTCTCAACAAATGTCTCAACGCACTTTACAAGAAAAAAAAAGAAGCGGGAAAAAGTCCGGTGAAATTCTTTACTGAATTAAGTACCAGTTGCATGCAGAAAAAGCTAAAAGTTTAGGTGACAAATTCAACACGTCGATAATTGACTTGTTTATAGAACGAAAAGGAAATAAATAAAACCACACATGCCCTGCAAACGAGCGGTCCAATGCAAAAGCTTCAAAGTCTTTTGTTTTTTTTCTTGTTTTACCTGATACAGAGTGGAGGCTTGTGGTGCAAAAACGAACAATTAAAACTCTTGCGGTGAAATAACCTGTCCCGCAGCGCTCCCGCCGTGCACGTTGCCATTTCCTTCACTGCTGCAACCGTTCTGATGCCCTCAGATAAGAAGGAGGAGACTGAGCCGCAGACATTAAGAGGTTCAAAACAGAGCTATTAGCTGAAGCGCACAGAAAATCCCTGTGCTGTGAAATCTGAAGAAAAGCGTCGGGGCTGTGAGCCGGAGCCGTCTATCGCAGACAAGCAGCGATGGAGCTCAGATAAAGAACGCAGGTCTGCAGAGAGGAAACCACAGGAGATCAGACAGAGGATTACACCCCGTAATTCAAGGCAGAAACACTTTCACCACACACACACACACACACACACACACACACACACACACACACACACACACACACGCACACACACACACGAGCAAAAAACCCCAAAACAAAACAAAAAAAACCACTCTCCAGAGCTCTTCCCAGAACTTTAAACACCAAAAGATTCACATTTATTTCAAAAGGTATGTCAGAAAATACAAATGCTAATACAAAAATAAATACGGAAAGGTTTCGGCTGAATCAACAGATGGAAGAAGATGATCCGAGAGTGGTCGGCGTGGCGACGGGGTCTCACTGGCCAGACTGGCTGCTGCCGCCGTTCATCTCCATGTAGACAAGTCCTGCAGTGAAGGAAACAGTGGAAGAGTCCAGGAGGTGGTGAGTCAGATGATATCTCTTCATTTTTTTTTTTTTTTTTAAATCAAAACCATTAGAAGTTTCTGACTCATATCGATCATGCCTGGGAGTCTGTCTGCACCAATAATAGCATGCAATGGCGAGAGGAAGTGTGTTTTTTTTTTTTAAATCTGTTTTGCGTCGCACCTTGAATCCAGTTGCTCGGTACCATCGCTCTGTCCAGAGGAATGCTGAGGGGAGCAACGTCCTGATGGCAGGTCGGGTGGCTTCCGTAGTGATCGATCAGCGACTCAACAGTCCCAAATCTCAGCAGTCTTCCTCTTAAATTCTGTCAAACACACACACATTCAAATAGTTGTGAAAATCTCTTTGGTTCCCTTTCAGATTTGTGTCACGTTTTTTTTTTTTTTTTGTCGCACTTAATTTACATGTTTCAAATCCTCAAACACATCCGGGCCAGACTACGCTGCAAAAACACAAAATCTTACCAAGATTTTTTGTTGTGCAAATGTCTTAGAACACATTAAATGAGATTAATGAGATTCATCACTATTAATTCCTTAATAGTGATGAAAAAGTACTACTTCCACTGGCAGATTATCTCACAACAAAATATTTTTCATATGTTAAGTGTAGCATTATGCAAACGAGCAATATGTATTTTCCAGCCTCAGTCACATTTTATAGCACTATCAAGTAACTATGTTACATTCAGTTGTCAATAAAAAGGTGTACATAACAAATATGACAAAAGAAATTTGACTTTGTATTTGAACATCTTGAAATTGGGCCTCTGTCTCTTTAAGAAGCTCTTCCTCTTTCTGAAACTCCGCCTTCAGGAAGTCATCACAATCTAGCTCCTCCATTAACCCTTTAACAACGTTTTTACCAGCGTTGCACTGAAACATGGCTCCTTTAATGAGCTCAGCGGTTGTGCAGTTCCACCAGGTGTTTGCTAATTGCTGCTGGCTAGTCTGAAGGAGCAGAGAGGGGAAGTCAAGGTGTTATGTGAGGCGGAAGCTTGGAAACTTGGACACTGCGTCTCAAAGACGGAGCCCGGTCCACCCAGGCGTTTTGCACAGCTGACTGGTTGCCATGGAGATTAAAGGATTTCTCAAACATGCATGAAAGAATTAAAGCAACACTTCAGGTATGTATTTGATGTTTGTTACATCATCATGTAAATCTCAATAAAAAAGTCAATTTTATATAACACTGCTCCTTTAAGCCCAATCTCTCTGGGATTACACAGCAGGACAATGATCCAAAGCACACCGGCAGGCCCACCTCAGAGTGGCTCAAAGCAAAAATTTTATGGAGATTTTGGAGTGGTCTAGTCAAAGTAAGGACTTAAATCTTGATATGATGCCACACCATCAGCATAAACAGGTCAAAATTCTTCCAAAGTGACGCAAACAAGTCATCTCCAGTTATCACACATGCTTGATGGCGGCCGTTGCCAAGGGTTACCGTTCCACATAAGGTCGGACTAATTTGGCCATTATCTTAAATTTGAATATTTATGGAAGTTCATTTTGTGTGATTTTAGTTTGTGACCAAAAAAAAAAAAAAAAGCCAAAACAGAAGAAATCTTTAGAAGAGCAAGCTGTTTCTTTGTTTTAGCAGCGTTTCTGTTCATGAGTGGAAACAGCGACTGACTTCCTGGTCTGCGTTTCAGAGTCTGTACAAGTGTCACCTGCTCCTCTGATGTTCACCCACCTGGAGGTACCAGCCGCCGCCGTCGCGCTCCAGCCTGTAGGTGTGTACAAAGGGCGCCTTCCTGTGAAACAAAAACTGCTTTCAGACCACTTCTGTGAAACTGAAATAAGGCAAAAATCTGAAACGGGCACTTTATCTGGATCTGAGGCCGACGGTGACTCACTGATGTTCAGGGGCCCACTCACTGTGAAAGCAGACATCAGTCACTCTGCTCACCAGTGTCGCTTTTGCCTGCAACGTTCTTTTACCGCAATATTTTTGAATTTTAATCAGTGCTTCCAATATTTTCTGAGGGGGTTTTCGCTTTTTTTTTGTGTTTTTTTTTTTTTGTGTGGTCGATTTCTTCAGAAACGACACCTGGCTGTAGCTCCTAAATGATTCATTAGAGCAGCTTTACATATGTTAGCATTATTTTAATTTCTACTTAATCTCTGAGATTTGACTGTGAATATTTTGTTAGCGTAGAAAATAACCTTTCTCAGGGTTTTGTTGTGATTCCGTGACCAGCCAGGCTGGCTCAGCAATGAGTCAGGTTTCCAGGAAAACAAAACACAAAAATAAACAGTTTCTTGTTCCTGGTCCGACCCGTGAACAGCCGTTAGAGACGGGACGGTCTGAACGCTGATTAAACTCAGTCAGAAAATAGTGGGTTTTGTTTGCAGGTTTGACCAAGACAAAAGATTTGACCAAAAGATATTTTAGACCAAAAAAAAAAAAGAAAATCATCATTTTGGCAAAAAAAAAAAAAAAAAAAAACGAAGGCCATTTTTCGGGAAAGGGGAAAAATTTTTTTTTTTT